TTTGTCGGATTGATTCTTGTTGAATTTCATTGAATAAATTATTGTTTGATTTTTACTAAATACTGTATATAGTTTATTACTAGAAGTTAATTAAATATTTGATTTTTGTTATTGACAAACTTTGTCATTATTTAATTCGGTGCACACTTAAAGTCCAGGCCTGGCACACTAACGTGAATCCGCGTAAAGTACCCGTTAGGGAACGGCTATTTCCGGCACACAGCAGTGTCGATAATCGTTGGAAAGGTGGAAAAATAAAATAGTACTTTACAATATAAGTTACCTGTATTAAACTACCACCTGTGTAATGTGACTGCGGGTTTCAATTTTTGGTTGGAAACAACATACAACAACTGTAATAAGCAATCACTTCCATGAATATATCTGGGTCTAAACTATTGTTCAAACCCATCTCAACAACATTTCCCCCTCCTAATATAATAAATTAGTCTAAACTCTTGTTTGAACCCACCTTGGGCACTTCTCTCACTCTTGAAATTAGGTGCAGGTGTTAATGAATTAGTCTTAGCTACAGGGGAAATTCATTTCAGTTTGTTCAAAAATGTCCAAAAAATGAAAGAAATGTGAAATGCTGTCGTTAGAAGATCGTGTGAAAATTATCAGAGAAAATGAAAATGGTTTATCTCAATAGCAATTAGTGGCAAAGTTTAACTGTGGAAAAATGCAATTTATTGTACTGTGGATCTACAGTATTTTCCTTAGGGGGTATAAAATATTGTACACGATACAATTAATCAACTGATCTCATCATTTAATAAAATTTATTTTATTTATCTTTTTTTGAAGCTTATATACAGTACTTGTGTGATAAATAGTTTCTGTATCAATCTACATTATTTCTGTGATATTTTTAGAAAAATAATATCCAAGTAATTTTCACATGCAAAATATTCAAAAAAACAATAAATGCAAAAAACAAAAATCAGTTTTACAGGCAACCTTCCTTTTTTGATTCCGCAATTGTCATTCATGTAATGAAATCATATTGTGACAAGAAATAATAAAATCATTTTATTATTAATTAATAATTTTTCTTATTGTACTTAAGAAAATATTAAATACTAGCTTACCCATCGCGCATTGCTGAAATCTCAGAAGAAATGAAATTCAAGCAAACTCGTTATAATAAAATTCAATTTACATTTTATCATTTTTATTGAAACTTATTATTATATTATTATTATTATTAATTTTCATTGGAAAAGCATTTCAAAGTGTCGTTTCAATTCTATTTATTTATTGGAGTGCTTGTGGATACACAATATTTTTTCCATTTAAACTCAATTTTTCAAAAAATTGAGACGGTCTAAAAATTCCTTAGGGGACACAACATCAACACTGAGCAGATGTAGGTCTAAACTTAAAACAGGTTAGGTAACTATTGTATAAATATATCCAAATAACTATTGTTGTAATTTACCATAAAAACAAATGTAATAATTGAATTTACCAATATATAGAAATGTAAAAAACCTGACGAGGAGTGCAAGTGATACGAAAATATTACATCCGAAATGCATAGTAAGTAAGAAAATAAAGAATACAATGATAAGCTTTTGTCTCTGATTAAATGCGGTCCAGGCAAAAAATGGTGGATTATTTCTGTAGAATTAACCCATGATGTTTCATCAATTTTTTGAGGAAAAATTTTTTGAAAAATTGATTTTAAAAGGAATATAAAGAAAACCGCACCATTGATATATACATATTGATTACTTATAATGATATTTTTGTTTTTCCGTCTGGTGCTACATGAATAAATCAGAAGGTTTTCCAACACATGAGCTGGCCACATACAGTTGTCCAGATGAGAAGCACGGATTCTCCAAATCTAGCCCACACACTTGCAGTGATTGTCAGAAGTGTGATATTTCCCAATTTCATATATTTTTTTAATCCTTTATAATTTTAATTATTTAATTGCTCCTTCCTCTCTTCCTTGGCATGTTGTGAAATTTCTGATAGTTGGATAATAAACCGTTTTATTGTAATTTGTCTTTTTAAATTATTTTGAGTTGATATTAAAATTTGGAAATGGGGAGATTCCTAGATTGGTAAAATAGGCGAATTCCCACCTATGACTTCGGTTGTTGTTCGGGATACAGTTAAGGTTTTAACAAAGTTTGAGCGAATACATAATTAGCAAAAAATAGTTGAAATAAAGTGATTATTACAAATATTGTAAATAACAGTTCACAAATGCATATATAGAGATATTTTTTGGAGGGGGAAATGGTCTTCACAATTTGAAATCAATTGAACTCACAATGAAATGCTCATATACACTCACGCCATCTATTGTAGAATAAATGTACTATGCCAGAAACCTTTGCGGGAGTGTATTAAAAAACTTCCCAAAGTTTCATGGCAATCGGATGAACGGTGTAGTAATGCATGAAGGACATACAGACAGACAGACATACATTCATTTTTATATATATAGATTTTAGAAAAAAAATACAGTATTTTTAAAGTTAAAATAAGATTAAACTAACGAAAACCAAAACCAAAGTGGTGGAGAGATATGACATGCGTCTATATCAATGACATACTACACACATAACTGAGGAGTGAACGAAGAGAATCAAGTTGAATTAATTAAGTCAAAAAAAGAAAGTGTGTATTATAATTGAGAAAATGTGAATACTGTATTAATTAATCTTTAAAATATTGGTATTAATTAAATCTGTCATATAAAATCCCAATGACTCCTGTTAATCGAGTTATCCGATAAGAATAAAATACAGTACCAATACAGTACAGCTCTATAGTTGAAAAAATTTGCTTACTTTTGCTCATCTTGAGTTTTGCTTAGTAGGAATGGCTAAAGTGTCCACAGAATACATGCAGAAATATGGTATTACAGCACCATCTGTCTAAAAGACCACTTTTTGAAAGAAACCTTGTGTGGTTGTAATAAACAGGTTTCACTGTAAATACATTTTTATTGGATAAAAAATACACATTATATCAAGCAGCCTGTTGTAATGGTGTATTTATTGTATGTGATTACAATAACTACTAAAGGTTCTTTAACAGTGAGGGTTCTATAGAGCAGGTTGAAAGTAAAAAATTACAACTTAGAAAAACAACTTTCCAACGTGTTGTAATACTTGTTTAGAGATCACAAACTGCAAAATGTGTCAAAATAGCAATGACAGAAGACACTAAACAGGAAATGATACATCACTACGAGCTAGAAACCAAATGTAGAACTATTTGCTTTTACTCCTATTATATGCAAATATATGATCCTTCACAATAAAATCAGCTAATATATAATAGAAATGGAATAAAAAACCACTTGACCTAATCATATACTGGTAACCTATGAAGGTCTTGAGTGAATTTAAATCTGATCTCTCAAAGCAGCCAAAAGATATTTGTCAATCAGCCATCAAGCTGATCCAATGCAACAGTTAGGTGTAGTCTAGCCATAAGCCATAATACATTAGAGGCCCTGCATAAAGCAGGCTGCCACAAATGGGTGCGCAGGATGTACATCATACCTAGATGCTTTTGTCAACAGATGCCAAAGACATTTCTAATTAAGTGCATGATTTGAGTTATGAAATGTTAAAAAATAGAACATTTCATTGAAAAAGTCAAATTGTAAGCTCCATGTGTCTACTTGCATTATATATTTATATGGATTTATAGTTTTGCAAAATCAATTGTTTACAAAGTGGCTCTGGTGTCAAGTTTCTCACCTGGTGAGGAATAAACTTGTACAGACTAGTACAGTATATAACAATGTTGCCAGATGTTCACATTATCGAAACTCAATTCAAAAGAGTTTTGACAGTGATTAAAAAAAAAAAAATAGAAATTTATAATATATTTAAACTAATTGATTAGGGGTACAAATAATAAGTCTTGCACATGGGCACAAGGTATCCTAGCGGTGGCACGGGCTTCAAATAACAATAAACTTAAAAATGGAAGACTAAGCTGTAGTTTTTATAGAGTATGTATACATCGGATCCTAAACCAATTAAATATTGAATGCAACAATTAAGATTTTTATACACAGAATTTAAGCAATGCAAAATGCAGAAGCATGATTTCAAATAAAACAACAAAGAATTCTAAATAAAAAACAAAATTACTTAGATAGATAAATGATCACAAAAGTGTATCATTCATCTAAAATTACAAAATTCAGTTATTCTATATTAGCCATCTGAAACTGTATTCTGACAGAAAATTATAACTAAAGTAAGTTAACCAAAAACTTCAATCATGCACTACTATATATATATTTTGTTATTTTGTTTAAATATTCCAATAAAAAATTAATTATATTTAATAGAAATACCAAAAATAAATTATCTGATATTTTTAAGCAGAATTAAAGCTACAAGTAAAAAATATGTTCTCTTGTTAGGTGTATTAAATACTTGGTTCAGATGTCACACCAACAGTTAACTTAATCAAAACTTTGTTAAGAAACTTCAGACTATGAGGCGTTAAATAAAATTAGAAGAAATATTTTAATCTTGCAAGAGCTTTCAATGTAAATATGTATGTCGTCTTCAGGCAATTCAAAGTTCTGTTTGAATTCTCTATTCGATTTGAATTGCCTGAAGACGACATACATATTTACGTTTAAAGCGCTTGCAAGATTAAAATATTTCTTCTAATTTTATTTAATGCCTCATAGTCTGAAGTTTTTTAATGAAGTTTTGATTAAAATATGTTCTCTTTTTGCTTCTTTTTCATGTTCATATATAAAATTAATACAAATGTAACAAAATACAACAGACACCAGAAAAATGTGATAATATAAATTCTGTAATTTCTAACTTAAAAGATATATTGTTAACTTATAAAGTAATATAGATATGAGACTCAGATGTAACATGCATATTTGATTTTGTGGATTAAGTGCTTGAATATCTCAATCTTAAATTTAATATATGAAAAAAAATTCTTACCTCTTTTTTTCTATTTGTTAAAGATGTTTTCTCCATTCCCTCCAATGTGACTCCATTAAATCTCTTTCCTAATAATACTTCAAAATTGGTTGTTCTTTGTATAGCAAACAACAGGAGACGTACATCAATCTCTTGAGTTCTTGATGCCATTATTTTTGACAAGTCTTTTCTAATGAATAAAAGTTACATTTAAAAATAAAAGATATATATATTACTAATAATAAAATAAACAATATATAAAATATATTTTTTATTAATTTATAGACTGCTTTCATCAAACAATTATTACAATCCTTCATGAAATATCAAACTACATTTTTGATATTCCTATATAATAAATACAAATTTACATTTGAAAAACAGATAAAATCATTACATTGTAAAAAATATTCCTTGACATTAAATATATAGAAACATTTGTACATTTTTTTTTTTAAGAAGTATTTCAAGAAATGCAGTTTAGGCAAGATTAGCCTTCCCAAGTAACTCTAAATAAAAACAATAAAACATAAAACAAAATGCAAAAGCTTTCAAAACATACATAAAGTTTTTATACATGTACTCTTAAATACATAAAAATCATGATGCAAAATGTCCTTGACATTTTTGTAGAATTGCCAAATCTCTGAAAAAAAGGGATTTTGAGATATTAAAAGTCTGGAAAAAGGACAGTAAAAACAAGAGGGATCACATGTTAAAATTTGGTACATAAAGGTTAAAATAAAATAATAAAAAGGTGGAATAAAACTATTAAAGTATTTGAAAGTAAGGATTCTATCAAAATAAGCAACTTTTAATTCAAAATGTGGAAGTCCTACAAAGATGTGCAATATCAAAGGATTCAGTTTATGAAGGTATGTTAGCAAATTAATAGTAGGTAGGTTTTAGATAATTTGCTAATGATTTTGCTTTTCTGTTTATTTGAAGCAAAGGCCCAAATAGGTAGGCAGAAATCAATGACAGAATGAAAATTTGTGAAAAATATTGAACAAATTATAGTTTTAAGGAAACAAAATGACAGTTTCACCATACGATTCTGCTGTGTACAGTCCATTAGTAATGTAGTCAATATGTTGTTTAAAAGTAAATTTATTGTCAAAATAGATGCCTAAACCTTTATGCAGTTGACAAGGTTACAGTTGTAGATTTTAAAGATAAAATTGGGTGGGTTTTTAATAAAAGCAAAACACATTAAGACCATTTTGTTAAGACTGATGAAAAAATTCAGGTGTTTTAGATTGATTGAGTGTGTGGCGAAATCGCATTGATTGATTACTGTTTCTGATTTTCAGATCATCAGCATAGGCTATGGTACTAGAGATGAGTTGACTGAGTATACAGTAGGTGATCGGTTAACGAACAGTTTGGACTGCAAACAAATTGGTTCGTTGTCCAATTTGTTTGCAGTCCAAACTGTTCCTTAACCGATCACCTACTGTATACTCAGTCAACTCATCTCTAGTAAAATAGCCTATGCTGATGATTTAATTGTTTGTTTAATTGTTTAATTGTTTGTCTTATACAAACAATTAAATAATAATAAATAACCTGATAGAACAAATACAAGAAGTAGTGGTGCTGCATTTAAGATTTGTAAAACTATATTTTAATAGCATTTATACATGGTTTATGGAATGAAACTTTCATAGTTGTATACATAACCTTTTTTGCACTAGTTAATTTCTGTTCTCTGAATTTTTGTAAGTGCTTTTCTGAACTTTTTAATTTTAAAAAAATGATATTATGGGGCCTAAAATGAGTGGAGTGTCAAGAGCTGTGTTTACTATACTTATGTTTACTATAGAAACTAAGCAAGAGATAATAGCCAAAGTAGAAAGTGGGCAGAAGATGTCTGATATTGTAGGCAGATGACTTAAACAGGTCTACAGTAGATACAATCTTAGCTAAGAAAGATATAATCAAAAAGACTCAAGCAAATAAAGGAATAACAAAAATCACATCTGAGAAACAAAGATGTGCCATCCATGAAAAAATGGAGAGATTTTTTTAGTTTGTTTTTTAGTTAGATCTTTTAGTTTGTTATTACATGTAAACAAACATAGTGAGAAAGTAATAATTTTTTATTTATTTTTTGGGGTCTCCAGAACGAATTAATCAAATTCCCACAAAATCTTTGGTAAATTGATAATTGGTTAATGAACAATTTGGATAGCAAACATGATCTTGAAATGGATTATGTTCATTAACCAATCACCCACTGTACAGTTTATGTATGAAATAAAAAACAATTGTATATATAATTATTATTATATTTCCATGAAGTATTCAAAAGAAAACTTATACATTAAAAGTAAAATAGAAAGCCACTCTAATAAACAATTAAATAATAATAAATGACATTCTCAAATGTGTTAATATCTTTTCTGTAAATTTGTAGTTTATATTTGTGTGTTCTGCATTTTGATCATCACTAAAAAAAATATTGACTTTGTGTCAGATTAATAATTAATAATTAATTAGACTTTTACAAAACTAAGCAATATGACTGCCTTAAATAAAATACTAACCTTTTTTATTTCTTATACAAACAATTAAATAATAATAAATGACATTCTCAAATTAGTTATTGAAAATAAAAATTTAGCAGAAATTAAGGTCTATTCACAAATAAGATCATCTCACAATTATTATTTTAACAAAGCAGATCCTTGTAAGTTCTCTACAATAAAAAATATTACATTTGTCAGAGAGCAACTTCTTGTAAAATAATCATAATTAATATTTCTGTGGATGGTGAGATATATCTGATCTATAATTATATATTATAATGGCACAGTTATTGAGGTAGTACCATGTAACAAATGTTAATGAACTTCATGCATCTTACAATAACCTAAGAAAAACATCAAAGATTCCCTAATAGAATAATTGGAAGGATCTCTAATAAATACAAAACTAAAAAATCAATTACTCAGTGAAAATCAAAATTTAAGAAACAATTCAAAAATTGATACATATAAAAAAAAACAAAACTTAATAGAATATTCACCAACAAAAGGTTTTCAATGCCATATTGTAACTAATAGTTTTAGACTTTAATTATTTCAATAAAACTTTATCTTTATATTTCCTTTCTGACATATAAAGATAAATTTGTAAATTCACAAATTAATTCTTTTATTATTATAAGTTTTGAATATTATGAAATTAAGTTTTTTGCATAATAAGCTTTACCTGGTAATATTACAGAATTCCACAGCAATTCTTTCACTTAACTCCCAATCTGGAGGAAACATACAGCCAAACTTCTCTTCAAATTCTATAAGATGTTTCTTAAGCCAACTGTAGCGGCGATCAATTTTATCTAACCATGCAGCCTAACATAATAATTTAAAATATAAAAACTCCTATATATAAAAATATACTATATATTTATAACATTAATATTATAGAAGTAAATGTTAATTTTTAAATTCAAGCATTTTTGAATTGCTTAAATTTCTTTTATAATCCAAATTTAAAATTTCACAAAATACCTTCATAAGTTTAAAAAACTTTTTCACACCTGAGCTCTCTTCACAATGCTAATGACCTAAACTCTAAACAAGTCATTATAACCAAAATAAAAATTCTAGATATATTTTTTATTTTGAGAGATATATAATATGTCCATCATTTTTATATTAAAATAATGTTAATTAAATCAAAAATTCTAACTGATACTAAATGATTTAATAACATATTGTATTCTTGTTTAATAGCTCTGTTAATAACCAAAGTTAAAGTTATCTCATTCTTCTTATTATTTTCTTCTCAAAATTTTATTGTGTCATCTTTTCAATTTTTCAATACACAGAATAATTCTCATTTTGTATGAATATTTGACAATTAAAAATGAGTATAAATTTTCATTTACACTTTTGTTTGATTAAATAATTAATAATTATCAATTTGTCAATATGAGGCATCAGAATCTAAGAACTGTACTGTTGGAATCATTGAGGTCTATTACAGAATGGTTTGATTAGAAGGTGAGTACAAGCAAAGGCTACAGAACTACATTCTTGTCTGCATTAAAGTCAATGATTCTAAACTGAATACAATCCTATAAGGGATCTAGAATCCCTTATAGAAATTTACTGGTAGCTTACTCTGCAGCGATCTTATCAAATAAAATATGATAAAATTGTTGCAGAGAATATATGAATATGATATATATATCATATGAATATATGAATATGATATATATATCATATTCATATATTCTTTATTTATCTATCTATCTATATCTATATATGTAATTGAAATGGGTTGATAATAATAATCAGCGCAGAGCCCAAACAGTTAGGAGTTGAAAGTTGAAATTTGGCACACAGTTAGGGTATGTCATGAGAATGTACAGTAAGAAGGAATTTTTCAAAATTCCCCCGGGGGAGAGAGACAGGATTAAGGCTTCAACAATGAAAGTGTTAAGTAACAATGGAAGTGTTAAGAGAAAGCAACGTGCAAGATTTACAAGCGCAGATGCAGTTTTTTTGCATTTTGTGGGAAATTGAACATATTTTTAGACCCATCTAAAAATTTTTTAATTAGTCTGGAAACAAGAGGACCTAATTCTTGCATTCTGTGAAAACAGGTACGATTGGCTGTAATGTAATAATCTTAATCTTCGCTATTGTTACTTTTTGCCCAAGCAAAAATGTAACAAACATCCTCATTTATATATATACTAGCATTATCTGCTAGTATATATATAAATGAGGATGTTTGTTTGCTATACACTCCTGTCCATTTGACCATTTGCTACGAAACTCGGCAGTTACATTCAAATACTTCTAACTTAAATCATGTCATACATCCCACCCCAAAATATCAAGTGCATTTCTATAAATCAATTAATTTTTATTTACATTCAATTTTCTGAGTTACATGTAGTGTCATCTATTGNTTATGAAATGTTAAAAAATAGAACATTTCATTGAAAAAGTCAAATTGTAAGCTCCATGTGTCTACTTGCATTATATATTTATATGGATTTATAGTTTTGCAAAATCAATTGTTTACAAAGTGGCTCTGGTGTCAAGTTTCTCACCTGGTGAGGAATAAACTTGTACAGACTAGTATATAACATTGCCTGATCCAAATTGAATTTAAAGGAGTTTTGATGGTGATTAAAAAAATATAAATTATATTCACTGAATTACTGCGACAATGATAAAGTGTGAAATAGATGTGCCATTACGCCATTACTGCAACAGGCAGCACATAGCACTTGCCTGCGTGGAGTATAGTAGTGTGTTGCTCCTGTACAAGACACTTTTCCTGTTAGCAATAGAGTTGTGCCAGTTATGTATCTAACTCTGTTCGGGAGAAAATTTTTGTATTGAAATAATTTAACTTGTGGTATGAATCGGAAGTTCGTATATAGGCAATCTGGTACTTTTCTCTTACAATTTCCACATCTGGTCTTGACTTTCATCTATCTAACTCTGTTGTTGAGATTAAGGAAGGTCAAAGATGAACGGATGACTGGGAATTTATAGCACTACAGTTTTTTCAAATTGCAGCTCAATAAGTATACTGTAGTAACCGAGTGGATAAAACCACCAAACACCGTTAATCAGTTGTGGGTTTGCGCATGGCCAACAGACTGGCCAAGTGGAGTTTTCTGGGTTTTCTTCACAATAGAAACACTTCAACTGGGGCCAACTTTACATAAACATCTTTCCAGGATGCATCCTCCTTGGTAGATCGCTCACATATCGCATTGACATAACCAAATAAACCAAACTAATTCTAACGAGTGATTATTTATTGTGACATCGTCATAATGCTGGGCTGCAACTTTTGTCACAATGTTTTCAATTCTTTTAGTGGTGATCTTGCTCTGTACATCATGCTTTTCCTGTTAGCAATAAAGTTGTGTTGGTCATATACCTAAACTCTGTTTGGGAAAAAATTTTGAATCAAAGTAACATTACTTCCATTCTAAACTTGTAGGTCATATATAGTTAATCTGGGCCTCCTGTCCTAAGCTTTCTATGTCTGGTCTCAACTTTCATCTAACTCCTTTCTCAAGTTTAAGGAAGGACAGATAAATAACAACAGTGGGAATTTATAGGAAATTATTGATTTTTAATGTTTTTTCCATATAACTTTTCCATAAACGTAATATTTATAAAAACATACTTCCCTCGTAGTTCATACAATCTGTTGCCAAAATTTTTAAAATTTATTATGACATAAAAACAATTATTCTAGCATTTTTACAAGAATTTTTTTATTTAAACAAGTCATACAAAGTTTCAGACATTAAGATTAGTAACTTTGATCATGTGCGAGGCCATCACAACCCATTCAACACTGATCACTTTTTGAATATTAATAGACTAATATTAATTAATGGTTGCTGATTATTTTCTTTTCTGAGAGGAGGTCAATGACTAATTTTGGTTGAATTAACTTTCACTCCCTTCTGCAACAGTTCCTTCTTTCTATCAGTTCAGCAGTATGAAGGCATTCGAATAGGAATATTGCATAATATAAAGTTACCAGCCAGCCCAAAATATGATTTAAGTGGTTTCCGAGAGTGTCACATGTAAATATTTGGTCCGTTTTTTCTGAAATTTGATTGATTGGCAGATTACCATCTGATATTCAGCTGTGAATGGTGCAGTTGCATAGAATTAACATTAGAAAATATGATATCTGAAAAATTTAAAATATATTTTTAATTCCTCTATACTTGACCATTGAATTTGTGCTATTTCATACCATTCGAATATTGCAATAAATGTGATATTGGTAGGCTGAAATAACCAAACTCTTTATATTGTTTTCATTTCAATGTTTGCTATATTATAGTATTTGATTTACATAACTACAAAGATTATCTTAGGTAAGGATTTATCACACCAAGTGACCAACCAAACACATTTTAAAAATTCTTTATTCCTGTGCACAATTTAAAAAAATTTTAAAATGTGTTAGATTGGGCACTCAGTATGATAAAGATAAACCCTTATGTAATATAACCTTTGTAAATATAAATCAAATACTATAATATAATATAATATAAGGGTTAGAATTACAAAATAATCTTAACATTTGTTTTTATTTTTTGTCTGGGTAACACAGGGCTTATTTGCTAGTATATATATACATTCTACCAAAAAAAAAAAAAAAAAAAATTTTCCAAATCTCACACTCAATATATATATCGAGATTTGGAAAATTGCTTTTCAGTAGAATGTTAGCAAAAAGATGAAGTATAAGAAACTTTTCTTTATTTCATCTATTTCTCATGGAATTAGTCTAACTGTCAACATCCATCTATTAGTAGGAGATCTTCAAGGCAAAAAGCCTTCCCTCTCTCTTCAGCCTGGAAAGTTTTGAGGATAGAATTTTAACAACTAATTGCTGATAGATGGGAACATCAACTTTTAAACAATTACATGGTGAGAATATTGAGAATATAACAACAATCGAAAGAAACAGTAAACCATTCATCCAGATTGGTCTCATTCCCACTGTCCTAGACGGCCCAGAAATGACACATTTGGAGTGTCATCACTACCAAACATAAGTTCACCTGATCAAATTTCCACACCTGATGGGGATATAACGGCCATGCACCCGATCTTCGAGGTGATCATTCACCAAGAAGTATTCTTTACATTGTGACTTATCATCCAGATCGTCTCCCTAGACATTTGCCACTCAATTACTGAACAACAAAAAGAAGTAAGACGATTAATCAATTTTATGTAAACTTTCTCTTGGTCTGTTAGTTTATAAGTAAATCAAAATGTGAAGACCTGTATCCCTAGACTCTATCCAAGCTTGTAATCATTTAGTTTTATATTAAATTTGTTGAATTTTATCGATGATTGATCGCTCTCATGTATTGCCAATACCTTATTGACAACCTCGCTATCCCTCCCAATCGCACTAACAAGAAAAAAATTGAGAAATGCAGAGAACACTCAATGAAAGAATGCCATCCACTGACACCATGAGTGATCTTCACCAGACTGACATTGTAGAATGAGAATGAGTTAAGTCTTGCATCTCTACCCTGGCTTCTCACAATTAAAATAATATATATATATATATACAACAAAGAACTTTACAATTAATGAAATAATTATGTAAAATTTTAAAAATACTAACATATTACATTTTAAATGTAAGAAAATTAACTTACATCTTGATTTTCTTGGAAAATGTGTGTATATTCAATTAACTGCAAATCTACAAACCATTTCAATAAATCACTTCTGTAAAAAATATTTTAGATAATTTAAAAATTATATTTTTTTAAATTAAATACAAAATTAAACTATAAGTTGCATGGATATGATCATTTACATAATAAAACTAACTTGTAAGTTATTTTGAATTATTTACTTAAAAATAAAATTTACCAAAAACTTTTAATATTCACACAATTAAAATTACATTGACCTTTGACAAGCACAGAACTATGCATATGTACTTCCAAAATGAAGTCTACCATTTAAAATTACTGTAATTATTGTAATCATTATCTCATAATTATGTGATGTATATCAATTGATAGAGTAAATGTCCAAATTTCATCTTCCATCTGTATTCAAATGTCTAATCAGCACTACTCTAGGAAGCACTGTAAATAAAAATAAAAATGACAACTCTACAACAAAAAACAGCATTTTGTGTCTGCAGTTTGCAAATTTAGAATCACCCATCATTATGCAACACAAATAATCTTCAGGAACTGCAGAATTGTGGCTGCTATGGAAGGAGTGACAACAGATATGCTGTAGTGAGTGTAGGAAGAATTTGAGTATCATGTGGATATATGCCATATGACTTGAGGTGCATAACTGAGAAATTGTAATGAAAAATGTAAAACTCAGACAGTTTTCCAACATTTTAATGTAAATTCTTTTTGAAAGACCCTGTACATACAAACACAAGTTTTCTAAAACAATTTTCCTTATTAAAAAATGCATTCTATAAATATTTTTTCATATTTATCTGGTTTAACCATCTTACATTTTTCAGAAAAAATTAAATTTTTGTTCATAATATCTATCATGATACATATATTTGGCACTTAGTACACAATGGAGTCTAAGGAAAGGCAGGTAATTCACAGTGTTGATAGCACATTAGTTCTTTTTTTTTAGACAGATCAAACTAACATCAGGATCAGTCAACATAAATAAGAAAAAGAAACAATACTACAACTTAAATTACCCATGATAAATTATAAAGATCTGGATCTCACTGTGTGGCCAGTTAGTCATTTCATTATTGTTTTTCATGTAAGACCTTATTAGGTTAAACTATATTGTGATCGCAGGGTCGGCACCTCTTTGATGCCACTTCAAGACTGACACCACCGTGCCTTAACAGACACGGAAATTGCAATAGTCATTAGTAGTTTGTTCACGTATGAGCAATTGCATAAACAAACTACTAACGGCTATTACTTAGTAGTAAATGCGTATGTAAATGTTCAGACTTGGAATGGAGACAACCAGAAAAAGTGCACTCCACAAATTTATCATTTAACAAATACCTGTTTATTTATAGATACTTCATACAAAATTTGGTTAAGACGCTTAGCTTATCAGCTAAATTTATAACACAATATAAGGGAAAGGAATAATCTTATCATTAATATTGCAACCCTGACTGCAAGAGAGAGAGTTCACAATCGTCCACACATTGATAAATACCTTAATTATTGGAAGTAGGTCCCTGTTTGTTATAATCATAGATTCAGCAAATTGATGCACTGTTCAAAGAAGCTTCAATGACTCTAGATGGATGAAAGTCCTTTTTCACTTGAGTGAGCAATGAGTGGCGATAGCTGAGATTGGCAAGCACACAGTTCAGAACTGTGGATGGTGGAGAACTTTGATTGTCATCAACCCTTCCTTTTTATTAGAAGGTCTTTTCTGGGTTTTTCCAATGACCTTATTAGGGATTATTCTGCAATGGCCCAATAGTTGAATTTTGATTATTGATTCCAGGTTACACATTAGGAAGATGTGTCACCTTTGAAAGGAAGTGAATCGGAGAAAGATATGATCATATCCTTCCAGTTTTTTATTAAGTGTTGGAAAAAAATAGAATTTTCTTCCCATTAGTTTAAGCGTTATCTCATTTTATTTTAAAAACGAGTGTGAAAGTCACTACATCTGGTCTCTCACAGTATCAGACATTGAGAGAAAGATAAATAAATAAAATGTAAAGAAAATACTGACATTAATGTAAAAAGAACAGATTAATGATGAATAATATGTGAGCACATGAACCAGCACAACCAATCTAGTGAAGAGAAAAATTCAGTAGATGATGATAAAAGCATTGATCATCAAACAATTTATGTAGGTTTATAAAAGACCTTTAAAGGAATTTAAAATTAGAAATTTCCAAATAGAGATAACTTTGGAAAGCTGATAATATTAGGCCTAAATCATATTTACAAAGTTATACATACTGACTACACTTGTCCCCTTAATGAATAAATAGGAGTGACTTGGCTACATTGAATTTGTGTTCTGACCATAATGAGTTTTCTTTTCTATTTTTTATAATTGATTGCAGAGTCCAATAGTTGATTTAATTTCAAGGAGTTTATTGTATCATTTAGCAAACAATCATAGATGGAATTTAAATCTGTAACATTCAGTATCATGAAAGTCCTTAGAAAAAAATTTAAAGATTAAGTTTGCAAGATAGATATGTCCCTATTGAAAAACACTTATGTTGCAAAATAAACATCATCTTTTAATATTCTTTGTAAAATAATTTTAGAAAATCTAAAGTTATGTATCTTTGTGAGAATCTGAAGATGGAGTATAAAATTTATTATGAAAATCAATTTCATCACTCAATCTAGATAACATCCCCTTCATGAATCAGACACAAAAAGCCTTTTTCTTTCAAATATAAAACTACATTAATAAATCAAGGAAATTAAATTAAAGAAATTTTTCCTGTAAAAAGGACAACACTTTTGTCACTTTTATGATGAAAAGGGAAATCTAACTTCTTTTCACAAGAGCTTATCACAAATTTTAATGAACATCTGGTTGTTTGAGTCATTTGTACATCCCATCAGATAATACAAATTCCAAATTTCAATCGAAGGAGCCTTGCATATAAAAAGGACAATTTCCCACCATTTGGGGCCATTTTTGCCATTGTGCTCCAGTCCTTGACAATCCTCCTCCAGTCCGTTCCTTTTACCTGATCCGATTCAAGCCGCTCTACTTCTACTGCCTACCGAATCTCCACCAGCATCCTCACTCACCAGAACTGTCGACCAACGAAAGATCAACAATTGGTAACCAAGATAGTATGTTTATAATGATGTAAACTTTCTCTCACATTTAAATAGAGACTTTAGGAGGTACCAATATTTAACCACCTATTTGTATTTTTTATTCTCATTAAATTTTGCTTTAGTTTGTTTAAATGATCTCGTTCTTGATCTTAAATATATGCCGACATCTTATCAGGAGTCCATGAGTCTTCTCCCTCAGACAAAAGTATAAAAACTTCATATTGCAGGCCTAATGCACTAATTAGGCTGGTGTCAGGAGAAATTTAACAGGAAGTTCTTATGATCTTCCTTTAAAAGTTCAAACAATTTTATGATCCCATCCATTGACAAAGTGGGCAGATCTTGCAGATCTAAAGCCGATCACGGGTAACAGTATCCTCTCTTAATCCCAGATTCCCACATCTTTATAATTTTATCTAAGAAATTGTTAATTTTAATCATACCACACATTTACAAAAGCAGTCAATTGATTTTGTTAGCAAGCAATCATCATCAATAGTAAAATTCATCTTCAATCACAAAGATCATAACTTAGATAAAGAAAAAAAAAATTGTTTCTAGCAAGTTATATGTTAACCCTTTCATCAGCATAAACAAGAATTTTTTGTTGTAAAATAGGGCTGGCAGAATTACAGTATTAACATTGTAAAAACACGTAAACAGATAATAAAAATATCTTCTTTTACTCGCAATGTCCAATCACCATGACCTCTAGCCCTATTTTACAAAGAAATATATTCTTAACTGTGAAGGGATTGTCACCTGTAGACATTTTAGACTGTTTTACATAATTTGGTAGAGGCAAAGCCTCTAAGGAAAAGTCATCTCTGCTGTGGAGAATAGTTTGTTCCTGGTGATTGGACATAGCAAATAAAAGATATTTTTATTATCTGTTTATGTGTTTTTACAATGTTTATAAAGAATTTTTCGTGCTTGCTACTAATACTAGCTCTGTTAGAATTTCTCATACTTAATAATCTTGACATGATTAACCTGGCACCAAATGTTACCAAGTAAGAACCAAACCTGCTGTGAAAAGGTTAAGGTCATATATAAAAACCATCAAATAATATGCAAAATACTTCCCAGGAGTTGCAACAAACATCATTACACATCTTTCGTACATTTATATATCATTTTATGATGAATTGAATATTATGTATGTTAGTATATTATCAAACTTTGATTCTAATCCCCACAGAAAATTTTTTTCTAAATCTTTTCTCCCTTTAATGTATAATCAATATGAATATTCAGAATTTAAAATTAAAGAATTATTTGTCTATGTCAGTATGAATAATGGTCATTATAAAAATTAAGATTTTTATAATGAAAAATCTTAATAAAAAAACTTCGAGTTTTTAAGAAAATATCATAGATAAAGATAAATTTAAGTTTATCATCATCAGCATATCAACTTACTTGACTTTTGGATCCAATATAGATACAACCAAACAAGCTTCCGCTAATTGTTGGTTTGGAAGAAATGTCTAAAATAAAAGTATGCTTTAATCACTATGTTTCTGATGCAATAAAAAATATTAACTACATTAATCATTAATTTTGATAGCAAGAAAAAATTAAATTTTTCTTCATAATACAAAACTGCAATTTAATTTGATCATAATTTTAATTTAAAACTCTTGTTCATTAATTATATAACATTTAAAATGAAAAATGTTTACCTTTGATGTAGGTCCAGTAAACGCATTGTGAAAATCTGCAGTGATCTGTTGAGCTAACTCAGACCGAATTTTTTGTACTCTAAAAACAAATTAATATAATTTAATATTCATTTTAGAGATAATTTAGTTTGTAAAAAATATTAAAAAATTTAATGTAAGGATCAATATCATAGAAACAACTTGAAATATCATAGAAACAATATCATAGAAAAATTCATTCAGAACATGTTTAACATGACAAAAGATATAACTTTTTAATCAGCATTCTAATTATGTAAAAATGGTTAAATATTCATTAAAACAATTTTTATAATGAAAAGTATATTTCTTCAACAAAAATGTAAAAAGTTCAATGAAATAATGAATGTAAAATGAAATTATTTTTACATTATACATTACATTTACTGAGGACTACTTATGAACATTTTAAGCAACTCAAAAAAAGCCTTAAATGCACAGTCCATTTAGATTAAAATCTAATACCTATTATTGTCAAAAAATATATATACTTATGCTTCCTCCTTAACTATAGAACAATAGATATTTATTTTGAACTGTTAGGGAAAAAAATATTTTCACATCTATTATGGTAATATTCAGTTTTTGTCTGTCCAGCAGATAAGCATACAATAGAATGTTATTGTTTAGCACAAGATATTAACAAAAGATGAAAATAGATTTTTGTTATAATCACTCCTCTTTTGTATATAAATTCTCGAGTTTCCTTTCATATATAACCAACTTTACATAGCTTTTCCTAGAACAAAAGATCTAATTTTAGTCATCTTGAGAGGCATTGCCGCAATGTCCATTGATGTGTAGTTAACTGTATTAACTGTAGTTGTAATTTCATGTAAAAGTAAAGAAAAATTTATTTCCATTAGTCTTTATTATATAAAAATCTAGTATCCTGTATTTAATGTAAAAAAGCATTTATTAAAAGTGAATTAATTTATGTTATATAATGACAAATGACTAAAAATAATTAACATCATACAATTAGCTATTAGTATATTTGTTAATTAAAATAAATTTTTTTTAATAATTTTTGAAGCAAATGTAAAAATTAACAATTATTAAATATAAATATAATCATAAACCATGTTTACTTACTTATCAGCTAAATTTCCTATTTGAGAAATTGAGAGATATTTCTGAAAATGGTCTAACACATTCATTACTCCTTGTAATAAATTTGCTATTTCTCCATATTGTCTCTTATGTAACAAATTTCTATTAAAAAAAAAATTTTGTACATTAGAACAACTCAGTACACAATTCTATTAAGTATGATTAACTCAATAAATTCTTTATATATATATTTTATATTTATCAGTATGTAATTTTAAAAATCAGCATTTCTTACTTAAAAAATTTATATTCTTAGAACAATATGCAATAAATATATTCTTATATTAATGAATTATTCATATGCATTGAATACAGTAATACCCCAAACTTACGCGATAGGTGGGATCGAGCGATAACAGCGTAAGTCAGGGTATAATTTCGCAATTTGTGTAAAATCCGAGTCGGATGTATGTAAGCTAATAAATGTTCTCGTTAATCTTCTCATCTTTTGATTCGTTCACGGGTTACAAGAAATCACCACATAGAGTCTCTAAAGTCTCCGTAGATATAACAAATACAGAAATAAATAACACAAAATAAGTTGTAGCTATGTGTTGATTCCACGCGACACGTCCGAACATGTAAGTTGAACAATAGTGTGGGGGGAGTGAGTAATCGAGAGTTGCGTGACACTCAAACAAAAGACGAATTGATGAGATTTGAAAATTGAGTAACTCTGGGTTCGTGTAAGTCAGGGTAACGTAAGTCGAGGTATTACTGTACTCTATTTTTAAGTTAGCCAAGTTTTTGATTAACTGACAAGGCAAAACTACAAAACTTTTACATATTATGTCTGCTTATCGTAAGTCGAGGTATTACTGTATATCAAAAACTGCAAAACCTTTTAATTTGACACAGTTTGAACATTCTGTATATTCAAATTAAAATACCATACAGTGATACCATACTTCAAATGACTCTAACCTCAAACACTTCAGAGTTCAAATGCCTAATTCAACAAAAAGTTACTTCAAATTTCGAACTGTGTGCACAGTGAAAAAATGCACTTGAAGTGTAAAATAAGCTTCTAAACAAAAAATACAATCATATATATCAAAACCAATAATATGTTAAATTGCACAACTGTTAAAATTAAATAACACATCAACAAGTATGTTAAGTAATGTAAAAATATGCAAAAACTTTCTGTTCAATCAAATAAATATAATCTGTACTCATGAATCACTTATTGAATTCTTAAACAATAATACAGTCGACCCCCCTATAATTACGGTCCCTATAATTACGATTCCTATAAAACTACGAAAAAATATACGTATTTTGGAAATGTTGAGTCGGATTAGTGTAGAATCGATTAATTTTATGGAAGAAAACCTTTCAATCAGCCATAGTCCATAAACTTGACACGTGTCGGGCTGTGATTGGAACGACTTGTAAGAAATCGGATTCCTAATAAATTGGAACGTATCTATATCTTATAGGGGGGTCGACTGTATAAACATTGCAAACTTCCAGTTTATTAAAAGATCAACAATTAAAACATATGTTAGCAAATTTTTTAAGATGCCCTTAACCCATAACAACATAATAATCACAAAATTTATATAATTTCAATTGATTCTACCTAGATCACAAACAAAATATAACTAATATGTTATATATTTATCAAGCATTGGGAAATTTTGTGGAAAACAATTAACAGTTGTCTTATCAATGTTTTATTAAAAAATTACTTAATGATTAATTTAAACTGATACTCACTGTAATGTATCTACACCTTCCACTAGAATATGAAGATGATTCAAAGTTGTTATGGATGCAGTTAAATGGCGTTTAGCATGATCTAACTGTTTAATATCTCTTGTAATTTCTTTCACCTAATTATGTTAAATAGAGAAATTTTTATTAGTAGTCAAATTTCACTTATTTATTTAAATAATTTCTCTACAAATGTATAAAGTGAACAATTTACAGACTTATTGATTAGTAAATGTGAGGAATCAACACAATAAAGCTGTACATGCCAGCAGTGACATGTTATAGAGCCCAGGCAAATTTGGATTAGGGAGCCCCATGTACAGTATTGATTTCGGACATTTTTCTTCAAGGAAACATTTTTTGGGAACTCTTTTCCTATAAAAGATTGGTTTGGGACCCCCCTGCAATTGCCCTTTTTATCTATAGGATAATATGCCATTTCATGCAAGCCACAATTATGCCCATCACAGGCTCATAAAAAAAATGACACTTTAACTCAAATTATCCATAATAAAATAAAGACATTTAGATCTATTTCAAACTTGAATCTCCACAATGGTAAACCAATATCTTACCAAAGTTTTTACCTATGGCAAATNTTAAACTATAAGTTGCATGGATATGATCATTTACATAATAAAACTAACTTGTAAGTTATTTTGAATTATTTACTTAAAAATAAAATTTACCAAAAACTTTTAATATTCACACAATTAAAATTACATTGACCTTTGACAAGCACAGAACTATGCATATGTACTTCCAAAATGAAGTCTACCATTTAAAATTACTGTAATTATTGTAATCATTATCTCATAATTATGTGATGTATATCAATTGATAGAGTAAATGTCCAAATTTCATCTTCCATCTGTATTCAAATGTCTAATCAGCACTACTCTAGGAAGCACTGTAAATAAAAATAAAAATGACAACTCTACAACAAAAAACAGCATTTTGTGTCTGCAGTTTGCAAATTTAGAATCACCCATCATTATGCAACACAAATAATCTTCAGGAACTGCAGAATTGTGGCTGCTATGGAAGGAGTGACAACAGATATGCTGTAGTGAGTGTAGGAAGAATTTGAGTATCATGTGGATATATGCCATATGACTTGAGGTGCATAACTGAGAAATTGTAATGAAAAATGTAAAACTCAGACAGTTTTCCAACATTTTAATGTAAATTCTTTTTGAAAGACCCTGTACATACAAACACAAGTTTTCTAAAACAATTTTCCTTATTAAAAAATGCATTCTATAAATATTTTTTCATATTTATCTGGTTTAACCATCTTACATTTTTCAGAAAAAATTAAATTTTTGTTCATAATATCTATCATGATACATATATTTGGCACTTAGTACACAATGGAGTCTAAGGAAAGGCAGGTAATTCACAGTGTTGATAGCACATTAGTTCTTTTTTTTTAGACAGATCAAACTAACATCAGGATCAGTCAACATAAATAAGAAAAAGAAACAATACTACAACTTAAATTACCCATGATAAATTATAAAGATCTGGATCTCACTGTGTGGCCAGTTAGTCATTTCATTATTGTTTTTCATGTAAGACCTTATTAGGTTAAACTATATTGTGATCGCAGGGTCGGCACCTCTTTGATGCCACTTCAAGACTGACACCACCGTGCCTTAACAGACACGGAAATTGCAATAGTCATTAGTAGTTTGTTCACGTATGAGCAATTGCATAAACAAACTACTAACGGCTATTACTTAGTAGTAAATGCGTATGTAAATGTTCAGACTTGGAATGGAGACAACCAGAAAAAGTGCACTCCACAAATTTATCATTTAACAAATACCTGTTTATTTATAGATACTTCATACAAAATTTGGTTAAGACGCTTAGCTTATCAGCTAAATTTATAACACAATATAAGGGAAAGGAATAATCTTATCATTAATATTGCAACCCTGACTGCAAGAGAGAGAGTTCACAATCGTCCACACATTGATAAATACCTTAATTATTGGAAGTAGGTCCCTGTTTGTTATAATCATAGATTCAGCAAATTGATGCACTGTTCAAAGAAGCTTCAATGACTCTAGATGGATGAAAGTCCTTTTTCACTTGAGTGAGCAATGAGTGGCGATAGCTGAGATTGGCAAGCACACAGTTCAGAACTGTGGATGGTGGAGAACTTTGATTGTCATCAACCCTTCCTTTTTATTAGAGGGTCTTTTCTGGGTTTTTCCAATGACCTTATTAGGGATTATTCTGCAATGGCCCAATAGTTGAATTTTGATTATTGATTCCAGGTTACACATTAGGAAGATGTGTCACCTTTGAAAGGAAGTGAATCGGAGAAAGATATGATCATATCCTTCCAGTTTTTTATTAAGTGTTGGAAAAAAATAGAATTTTCTTCCCATTAGTTTAAGCGTTATCTCATTTTATTTTAAAAACGAGTGTGAAAGTCACTACATCTGGTCTCTCACAGTATCAGACATTGAGAGAAAGATAAATAAATAAAATGTAAAGAAAATACTGACATTAATGTAAAAAGAACAGATTAATGATGAATAATATGTGAGCACATGAACCAGCACAACCAATCTAGTGAAGAGAAAAATTCAGTAGATGATGATAAAAGCATTGATCATCAAACAATTTATGTAGGTTTATAAAAGACCTTTAAAGGAATTTAAAATTAGAAATTTCCAAATAGAGATAACTTTGGAAAGCTGATAATATTAGGCCTAAATCATATTTACAAAGTTATACATACTGACTACACTTGTCCCCTTAATGAATAAATAGGAGTGACTTGGCTACATTGAATTTGTGTTCTGACCATAATGAGTTTTCTTTTCTATTTTTTATAATTGATTGCAGAGTCCAATAGTTGATTTAATTTCAAGGAGTTTATTGTATCATTTAGCAAACAATCATAGATGGAATTTAAATCTGTAACATTCAGTATCATGAAAGTCCTTAGAAAAAAATTTAAAGATTAAGTTTGCAAGATAGATATGTCCCTATTGAAAAACACTTATGTTGCAAAATAAACATCATCTTTTAATATTCTTTGTAAAATAATTTTAGAAAATCTAAAGTTATGTATCTTTGTGAGAATCTGAAGATGGAGTATAAAATTTATTATGAAAGTCAATTTCATCACTCAATCTAGATAACATCCCCTTCATGAATCAGACACAAAAAGCCTTTTTCTTTCAAATATAAAACTACATTAATAAATCAAGGAAATTAAATTAAAGAAATTTTTCCTGTAAAAAGGACAACACTTTTGTCACTTTTATGATGAAAAGGGAAATCTAACTTCTTTTCACAAGAGCTTATCACAAATTTTAATGAACATCTGGTTGTTTGAGTCATTTGTACATCCCATCAGATAATACAAATTCCAAATTTCAATCGAAGGAGCCTTGCATATAAAAAGGACAATTTCCCACCATTTGGGGCCATTTTTGCCATTGTGCTCCAGTCCTTGACAATCCTCCTCCAGTCCGTTCCTTTTACCTGATCCGATTCAAGCCGCTCTACTTCTACTGCCTACCGAATCTCCACCAGCATCCTCACTCACCAGAACTGTCGACCAACGAAAGATCAACAATTGGTAACCAAGATAGTATGTTTATAATGATGTAAACTTTCTCTCACATTTAAATAGAGACTTTAGGAGGTACCAATATTTAACCACCTATTTGTATTTTTTATTCTCATTATTTTCATTAAATTTTGCTTTAGTTTGTTTAAATGATCTCGTTCTTGATCTTAAATATATGCCGACATCTTATCAGGAGTCCATGAGTCTTCTCCCTCAGACAAAAGTATAAAAACTTCATATTGCAGGCCTAATGCACTAATTAGGCTGGTGTCAGGAGAAATTTAACAGGAAGTTCTTATGATCTTCCTTTAAAAGTTCAAACAATTTTATGATCCCATCCATTGACAAAGTGGGCAGATCTTGCAGATCTAAAGCCGATCACGGGTAACAGTATCCTCTCTTAATCCCAGATTCCCACATCTTTATAATTTTATCTAAGAAATTGTTAATTTTAATCATACCACACATTTACAAAAGCAGTCAATTGATTTTGTTAGCAAGCAATCATCATCAATAGTAAAATTCATCTTCAATCACAAAGATCATAACTTAGATAAAGAAAAAAAAAATTGTTTCTAGCAAGTTATATGTTAACCCTTTCATCAGCATAAACAAGAATTTTTTGTTGTAAAATAGGGCTGGCAGAATTACAGTATTAACATTGTAAAAACACGTAAACAGATAATAAAAATATCTTCTTTTACTCGCAATGTCCAATCACCATGACCTCTAGCCCTATTTTACAAAGAAATATATTCTTAACTGTGAAGGGATTGTCACCTGTAGACATTTTAGACTGTTTTACATAATTTGGTAGAGGCAAAGCCTCTAAGGAAAAGTCATCTCTGCTGTGGAGAATAGTTTGTTCCTGGTGATTGGACATAGCAAATAAAAGATATTTTTATTATCTGTTTATGTGTTTTTACAATGTTTATAAAGAATTTTTCGTGCTTGCTACTAATACTAGCTCTGTTAGAATTTCTCATACTTAATAATCTTGACATGATTAACCTGGCACCAAATGTTACCAAGTAAGAACCAAACCTGCTGTGAAAAGGTTAAGGTCATATATAAAAACCATCAAATAATATGCAAAATACTTCCCAGGAGTTGCAACAAACATCATTACACATCTTTCGTACATTTATATATCATTTTATGATGAATTGAATATTATGTATGTTAGTATATTATCAAACTTTGATTCTAATTCCCACAGAAAATTTTTTTCTAAATCTTTTCTCCCTTTAATGTATAATCAATATGAATATTCAGAATTTAAAATTAAAGAATTATTTGTCTATGTCAGTATGAATAATGGTCATTATAAAAATTAAGATTTTTATAATGAAAAATCTTAATAAAAAAACTTCGAGTTTTTAAGAAAATATCATAGATAAAGATAAATTTAAGTTTATCATCATCAGCATATCAACTTACTTGACTTTTGGATCCAATATAGATACAACCAAACAAGCTTCCGCTAATTGTTGGTTTGGAAGAAATGTCTAAAATAAAAGTATGCTTTAATCACTATGTTTCTGATGCAATAAAAAATATTAACTACATTAATCATTAATTTTGATAGCAAGAAAAAATTAAATTTTTCTTCATAATACAAAACTGCAATTTAATTTGATCATAATTTTAATTTAAAACTCTTGTTCATTAATTATATAACATTTAAAATGAAAAATGTTTACCTTTGATGTAGGTCCAGTAAACGCATTGTGAAAATCTGCAGTGATCTGTTGAGCTAACTCAGACCGAATTTTTTGTACTCTAAAAACAAATTAATATAATTTAATATTCATTTTAGAGATAATTTAGTTTGTAAAAAATATTAAAAAATTTAATGTAAGGATCAATATCATAGAAACAACTTGAAATATCATAGAAACAATATCATAGAAAAATTCATTCAGAACATGTTTAACATGACAAAAGATATAACTTTTTAATCAGCATTCTAATTATGTAAAAATGGTTAAATATTCATTAAAACAATTTTTATAATGAAAAGTATATTTCTTCAACAAAAATGTAAAAAGTTCAATGAAATAATGAATGTAAAATGAAATTATTTTTACATTATACATTACATTTACTGAGGACTACTTATGAACATTTTAAGCAACTCAAAAAAAGCCTTAAATGCACAGTCCATTTAGATTAAAATCTAATACCTATTATTGTCAAAAAATATATATACTTATGCTTCCTCCTTAACTATAGAACAATAGATATTTATTTTGAACTGTTAGGGAAAAAAATATTTTCACATCTATTATGGTAATATTCAGTTTTTGTCTGTCCAGCAGATAAGCATACAATAGAATGTTATTGTTTAGCACAAGATATTAACAAAAGATGAAAATAGATTTTTGTTATAATCACTCCTCTTTTGTATATAAATTCTCGAGTTTCCTTTCATATATAACCAACTTTACATAGCTTTTCCTAGAACAAAAGATCTAATTTTAGTCATCTTGAGAGGCATTGCCGCAATGTCCATTGATGTGTAGTTAACTGTATTAACTGTAGTTGTAATTTCATGTAAAAGTAAAGAAAAATTTATTTCCATTAGTCTTTATTATATAAAAATCTAGTATCCTGTATTTAATGTAAAAAAGCATTTATTAAAAGTGAATTAATTTATGTTATATAATGACAAATGACTAAAAATAATTAACATCATACAATTAGCTATTAGTATATTTGTTAATTAAAATAAATTTTTTTTAATAATTTTTGAAGCAAATGTAAAAATTAACAATTATTAAATATAAATATAATCATAAACCATGTTTACTTACTTATCAGCTAAATTTCCTATTTGAGAAATTGAGAGATATTTCTGAAAATGGTCTAACACATTCATTACTCCTTGTAATAAATTTGCTATTTCTCCATATTGTCTCTTATGTAACAAATTTCTATTAAAAAAAAAATTTTGTACATTAGAACAACTCAGTACACAATTCTATTAAGTATGATTAACTCAATAAATTCTTTATATATATATTTTATATTTATCAGTATGTAATTTTAAAAATCAGCATTTCTTACTTAAAAAATTTATATTCTTAGAACAATATGCAATAAATATATTCTTATATTAATGAATTATTCATATGCATTGAATACAGTAATACCCCAAACTTACGCGATAGGTGGGATCGAGCGATAACAGCGTAAGTCAGGGTATAATTTCGCAATTTGTGTAAAATCCGAGTCGGATGTATGTAAGCTAATAAATGTTCTCGTTAATCTTCTCATCTTTTGATTCGTTCACGGGTTACAAGAAATCACCACATAGAGTCTCTAAAGTCTCCGTAGATATAACAAATACAGAAATAAATAACACAAAATAAGTTGTAGCTATGTGTTGATTCCACGCGACACGTCCGAACATGTAAGTTGAACAATAGTGTGGGGGGAGTGAGTAATCGAGAGTTGCGTGACACTCAAACAAAAGACGAATTGATGAGATTTGAAAATTGAGTAACTCTGGGTTCGTGTAAGTCAGGGTAACGTAAGTCGAGGTATTACTGTACTCTATTTTTAAGTTAGCCAAGTTTTTGATTAACTGACAAGGCAAAACTACAAAACTTTTACATATTATGTCTGCTTATCGTAAGTCGAGGTATTACTGTATATCAAAAACTGCAAAACCTTTTAATTTGACACAGTTTGAACATTCTGTATATTCAAATTAAAATACCATACAGTGATACCATACTTCAAATGACTCTAACCTCAAACACTTCAGAGTTCAAATGCCTAATTCAACAAAAAGTTACTTCAAATTTCGAACTGTGTGCACAGTGAAAAAATGCACTTGAAGTGTAAAATAAGCTTCTAAACAAAAAATACAATCATATATATCAAAACCAATAATATGTTAAATTGCACAACTGTTAAAATTAAATAACACATCAACAAGTATGTTAAGTAATGTAAAAATATGCAAAAACTTTCTGTTCAATCAAATAAATATAATCTGTACTCATGAATCACTTATTGAATTCTTAAACAATAATACAGTCGACCCCCCTATAATTACGGTCCCTATAATTACGATTCCTATAAAACTACGAAAAAATATACGTATTTTGGAAATGTTGAGTCGGATTAGTGTAGAATCGATTAATTTTATGGAAGAAAACCTTTCAATCAGCCGTAGTCCGTAAACTTGACACGTGTCGGGCTGTGATTGGAACGACTTGTAAGAAATCGGATTCCTAATAAATTGGAACGTATCTATATCTTATAGGGGGG